GACAAAGACCTAGAATCCACAGAAACCTTGCCTGTGATGTCCAGATGAAGGCCCTATCTTTTCTGCAGAGGGTAAAGTCTTTAGGGAAGCAAAGCAAAGACTGAACTGCAGCTAGTATTTGGAGAGTGCCCAGAGTCTCTAGATATATTAAAAAAAATCCTTATTAGTATAAATTTTATGAAGCATCCTTTTAGGCATTACCGTTTGTCATGAACTTTATTCTTTTTATGTAATAACCTGCATATTACAGAAAGAGATCGTTTTCTCTTATTGTATCCAATTTAGCAGACACAGAAAAGCACAAGGCAGAAAATAAAACTCACCCACCTTCACATTTTTATAACCTACAGATAATCACTTATATTTTCATGTATTTTCTTCTAGTCTTTTTTACACATCTATAAAACAAAATTAGGAATATACTAATTTAGATAGATAGAAGTTTCACCTCCCTTCCTGCCTGGGGGTGAGTCACCGGATAAAAGAAAGTAGAAGAGGAAAAATCCATGGATTACTGGTTCACAGTGTTATCCTACCACACTGATCTCCAATAATCCCCACACAGCCATAGATCTCATTGACTTCTTGGGAAGGGCTTCTACTTCACGACTATTGATACCTCATCATGGGCACCCTTGACTAGACAAAATGGGATCGAGAAACTTCATTAAAAATTTTTTTTAAACGTATATTTTTCATGGCAGAGCCAGCTGTAGGATGTGATTAAGGAGGATGTCTAATCGGTGGCTTGGGGGATGTTGGTGTGTACATCCACGTGCCATCCAGATAGACTAAAATCTTAGACTCTAAACAAAAATTTCCTAATCTTAGGGCATTGTCTCTAGGAGTCAGATCAACTTGGTGATACCCATGCTGGAGGAGAAACTACTCTGCCTCCAGATCCAAAACACTTTCTTTCCCACGTGCAGCATATTTGCTCAGGATCTATGGCACAGGGAAGTTCAGACAGGCTTCATCACCCTATACATCACTCCCATTTTACAGATGAAGAAACTAAGGCCAATGGAGATTAAATAACCTGCCCAAAGTCACTTGGCTAGTGTGTGAACTCAAATCATTGTGATTCCAAAGCCCATCTCTTGAGATTGGCTAGCTTTTAACCAAATCTCCTGTGCTCACAGCTAGACGTCATCTCCCAGTCTCTCTGACAGGTAGATGTGACCATGTGACAGAGTCCTGGCTAGTGGAATGCAGTGGAAGTGATGGATGTTATTTTCAGCTTTGGCTGTGAAACTGTCCACACATAATGTTCCATATTTTCTCTTCCCTTGTGTGATGGCTAGATGCCAATGTACAAGGAGACCTTGAAAGCCACATGTTGAGGATATCAGCACCTCTGTCAGCCTGGGCCCCTGAGTGACTTGTGGAGCAGAGCACCTTCCCCTGCCACCAATTTTCCTTCACTCAAGACCCATTGGACTTCATAGGAGTCCAAGTATCATTAACAAGTCTCATTACCTTAACTAAATCACATCGCAAGTAAGTGGCAGAACCAGAATACCAGCCCAGTTCTTGTGGCTCCATAAACCTGTGCTTTTTTCACAGTACCATTCTGCCTCCCTCTGTAATGAACTAAACTACAGAAATTTTACCCTTCCGGGGAATTACCTGGCGGTCCAGTGGTCAGGACTCCACACTTCCCCTGCATGGGGCACATGTTCGATGCCTGGTCGGGGAACCAAGGTCCTGCAAGCTGCATGGCACAGCCAAAAAAAAGAAAAAAGAAAAAAACAGAAATTGTACACTTCCACACAGTTGGCTTTAAAAACACAGAGCTACCCAAGGGTGCCCTAATCTAGCCATTTTTCTCTCTATTAATCTCCATACCACAAAAATATAGCCAGTTATGTGTTAACTGATTCAAGTTGGCTTTTTGCAATTTATATTGATTTTCAAAGTGGTAATAACCAAACAAAAGAGCCCATCATTGTTGTACATGTGCAAGTTTCCCTGGACTGAAGTTCCAGTCTTAGACTGGCTGCAATGCATCCTGCTGGAATCAAAATCCTTCTTTGCCAGTCTTTCCCTATTTAAGCAAACTAGATGGCACTGTTGCCAAGAAACAAAACACCGTTTTCTAGTCTCTCCTCTCAGGAGACATCTGGTCCTTCTCAATGCTGCCTGCATGTGTTCTATAACCTTGCTCACGCTTTATTTCTGACCTGGTCCTTCTCCTACTTTGAGACATAACTCAAATTTCCCCTCTTCTGACACTCTTTCTCTGATGATTCCTGTCCCCACTGATGTGTCACATTTTAAATACTTGAGACGCTTTGAACATTTTGACATTTGATGTTGTTGCGTCTTTTTTTGTTTTCCTTAATTGCTTTTTATGTGGAGCCTTATCTTCCCTTTAAGATTTGAACATTCTCAGGGACACTAACTTAATGTTTACAAGTTGGAAATCAGCATAACACCTGACATGGTGTCTTGCAAATAGATGTTCAGTAATTTGTTCTTAAATGGTTCAAGGAATGAAAGTAATGGTAACTTCTTTTCTTTCTTCCACAGTGAGTGCCCACAATGATCCTCAATATAATTTTTTAAACTGTTGGTTGAATTCTGTCTTCATGGTTTGGGGCCTTCCCTGAGGCATTTTGGTGTATGATTTTGAAACATGGTCCAAATTGGTCTACAGTGACCTCCAAGGCTCTACAATAGAGGTTCTCAAGCTTCAGCATGCTGGGGGCTGTCCGCAGAGTTTCTGATTCGGTCGGTCTGGGTAGGACCCAGATTTTCCAGTTCCAAAAGGTGATGCTGCTGCCGCTAGTCTAGTGGCCACAGCCTGAGAACCACTGCCCTCCTTCCACCATACTGATACCACCTGCTACTGCTCTGCCCGCTTATTCTACTCTAGCTACACGGACTTCTTGTGGTTCCTTAAACTTACCAGGTGTGCCCCTGCTTCAGGGATTTTGCATTTGCTGTTTTCCCAGATACTCACGTACTTTCTTCCTTATCCCAGGTCATTCCTTACATGTCATCTTCTCCAACCACCTGATTTAAAATGGCAACACTCTCTGTCCCCTCCCCTGTCTGCCACACGCACACATACACACATTCACACATACTCATGCTCCCTATCACATCCCTTTCCTGCAATGTTTTCCTCCATAGCATTTATCACCATCTGACATATATGTTTTATTTTTTTACTGTCTAGCTCCTCCCCCCACCAGAATATAAGGTTCCTGAGGACAGGGATTCTCATCTGTTTTGCTCATTCCTGTAACTCAGAGGATAGAACAGTGTTTGGCAAATAGTAAGCACTCAAACAGTAGTTGATGTTTTAACTGGAGGACAGCAGGGAACACGACCTTACCTGCTTTCAGACTATAAACCATAAAGAAAACACACCTACTACTGGAACAAAATAGGAATGATTAACACGGTATTCACTCTGCCTGGGCCAACCCTGTCAAGGGGCCAGAGTTGAAGGAGCAAAGGAAGATGCCATTAGCCTCTGGAGGGGTCACTGTTCTGTCCTCACTTCTCATCTATAAGCTGAGGGGTGGATGAAGTATCTGCAATGTTGTTTCCTGCTCTAAAACTCCAGGCTCTATCTTCCTCCTGGTCTATATGCCCCACAAAGGCAGGTCTTAGGACAGTAGGACCAGTGAGAAGCTCTGCTCAGTTTTCTCCTGAGCATTTTCAGCCTTTGGCTATTGTCAACAATTTCACCACAACAAAGTTAGCAAAATCCTATTGAGAATCTTCCCCCAATCAAAGGTACAATCCCACAGCTGTGCTGCCTTTTTGGTTTTTGTGTCGAGTTTTTTCTCCTGGGTCCTAATTGGTGCCAAACCCAATATTATTATATTTGCATTGTCTCAGAAGTCAACCTACCCCAGGGATTCTCAAACCAGTTTAGATAGGGGAACATCAAGAAATCTTTCTTGCCTTTGCTGACCTTGATATATTGAGATTTTAACATCTAAATATAATAACACAAAATTTGGGGCTAAATCACAAACTATCGAAATCTTGTATATAGATTCCAGTAGAGACAAACAGTAGTGGAAGCTGAATTTCAAAGAGAAACTTATGGCCAAAAAATTTTAAGTTGAGAAAATGTGATCTTATCATTTAATTTGATCTTGCTTTCTGCAAACTGGGAAGCATTGGTCCGTCCACGGCATTTCAGAGCATGGGGTGGAAGAGGGTTAGCTTAGAGTGGTCAGGAGCACAGGTTCTCGACCTACTAGTTGTAAGACCTTGGGTGGATTATTTCACCTCTCTGAGCTTCAGTTTCCTCTACTATAAAATGGGAAGAACAATGACAGCACCTAACTCCTACGGTTACTGAGAAGTCCAAATAAGGTGGTACAAGTTAAACTCTTCAACTGAGTCAGGTACCCAATAAAGTGATGACCAATGTTGGGTATTTACTATTCATTGCTGAAGGCCATAGTGAGGAGTGTTTAGGAAAGGGTTCACTCAGGTAGGGAGAGAAAGAAGAAATAAGAGCATTTGAGAAGATGGAAGGACCAACAAGAAGAGAGAGGAATGGATGTGGGTGGCAGCACAAAGCTGTTGGAGAAGCTATATGTGTTGATTTGACTTGGTTTTCTGTTCATTTGGACCTTTTAAAAAAATCATTAATCTTTACTTACACAGGGCTTCATCTGGTGGGTAGAGCCTGAGGTTATTGACTGTTCAGACCAGGGTGCAAGGGTCATCTGAGCACTCAGAGTTTTGAGCAAAAGGCTGTTTCAGGTGTGCTTTGAGGTTATCTGTCTCCATGAAACTCTGGGGCTGGGGCAGGAATATCAGCGCCTGCAACCTAAAGATTTTCCAAGAGTGATCTTTTAAATTGAGGAGGAAAAGCTTTAAGGTATTTTTTTCTGCCTTGTTATGTTTTCAAGCAACTCTTCAAAAATAATGGCCTATAAACAGAAGAGTTAGTTGGACATGGCCAGAATCACAGTGTTCTTGCTGGGCACCCCCTGCTGGCGTCTCACCTCTCCTTCGAAGCTGAATCAACACTTTGCAAAGCCTGTTGACACCCTCAGAGGGATTCCCAAGTGCACTCTGTGTTTGGGGTTATTATTTTGAGGGTGTTCAACCTTTCCTCAGATGTCACTGAACTCTGCTTAGGCTGGCCTTCAGGGCATTGACCCTTAAGCAAATAGATAGTGTTCTCGAAAAAGCTTGAATTCTGTTCAGTGCTTTACAATGATGAAAACTGAAGTTGGAATGGGTTAGAAAACTTTTTGACTCTCCACAGTGGAGTCCATTGTTTCTTCTGGCTTCTTCAATTTCATGTTCACAGGTAAGTGACGTATACCGTCTAGAGCATGTGAAGACTATGTTCTGCAAATTCATTTCCTCTAAGTCTTACTTTGTGGCGTGTTGTGTTTCTGATTCATTAAAGGCTGGCCTCTTGTTATGCAATAAACAATGCTACAGGGCTTGGCTAGGAACTTGCAGAATACATTAATGATTTCATAATATTGTATATAATACAGATAAATCTTTGTTGCTATCTCATTTATAGTAATACTTTTTTTATGCATCAATTGTCTTGAGAATGTGTGTGCGTGTGTGTGGTATGTGGGTGTGTGTGGTGCAAATGGGCAAATAGATTGAATAATCAGCGCAAAGTAAAAATGTTACTGAACTTCTTAAACTTGGCTTTATGAAAGCACAATTCTGTATGCACTGACCACCACAAATCTTACCCCAGAAAGCTGGTGCTGGTTTCATACAGAACTATACCGACTCCATTCTCCTAGTTTTCAATAATTCAGATGCTAGAAAATATAAGCTCTGGATTCATGGCTAGAAGGGGAAAAATTGGATTCTAGAATCTTATTTCCATTTTTCGGTTTCCTTAGACAGTAGAAATCACATGTTGCTGATGATTTGCACACGTTGATCAAATATCATTCACATTTAAGCCTGGGAATAAAGTGCGTTTTTTCTAACGTTTTGAAGGGGAGAATAGCTTTCTAGACATTTTAGAGGCAAATTATAATGATTGTACTTAGAACTCAATATTGGGATCTAATAGTGGTTATTACTGAACTTTTAAGGTATTAACTTATTTACAGGCTAATTTTTAAAAATACATTTATTTATTTTTGGCTGCGTTGGGTCTTCGCTGCTGTGTGCAGGCTTTCTCTAGTTGCAGCAAGCGGGCGTTGCTCTTGGTTGCGGTGCGCGGGCTTCTCACTGCAGTGGCTTCTCTTGTTGCACAGCACGGGCTCTAGGCACGTGGGCTCAGGAGTTGTGGCTCATGGGCTCTAGAGTGCAGGCTCAGTAGTTGTGGTGCACGGGTTTAGTTGCTCTGCAGTATGTGGGATCTTCCCGGACCAGGGCTCGAACCCGTGTCCCCTGTATTGGCAGGTGGATTCTTTTTTTTTTTTTTTAACATCTTTATTGGAGTATAATTGCTTTAAAATGGTGTGTTAGTTTCTACTTTATAGCAAAGGGAATCAGTTATACGTATACATATATCCCCATATCTCTTCCCTCTTGTGTCTCCCTCCCTCCCACCCTGCCTATCCCACCCCTCTAGGTGGTCACAAAGCACCAAGCTGATCTCCCTGTGCTATGCGGCTGGCAGGCGGATTCTTAACCACTGTGCCACCAGGGAAGCCCCTACTGGCTATTTCTTAATAGAGGTTCTTTCTGTGTGCAGTCAACCCTCACCTTATGCCCCCTCCCCCAGACTTAGTTACCCTCCTACTCTGCCTGTACCACTCTTGTCATTATCTGTTTGAAACCTCCATCTCCCTGCCTAGCGGTTTACATGCCCTTCCCCCCACTAGATTGTTGAGCCCTTGAATAATTTGTGTGTCCTGCTACTAAGAGTAACGGTGACAAATATTTGCCGATGAATGCTGGAAGTGGATTTGGAAGTAATTTAGGAAAAAAACACTGCTCTCTCTGTGGTTTTAAAAGACACTGAAATTGCTAGAAAATGCCGAGTTCCTTAGCAGGAATCAAGTATTAGGTTTACTTTGCTTTATGAAGGTGAAAGAACTACACCTATAGAGACCAAGAAGAAGAGCAGGGAGGAACTTTGGTGTTAAATCCTGTTTTCTTCAAGAGCAATTCCTTAGTTCTCTGTCTCATTTGCGATCCTGTGAAGCAGGCCTACCCGTCTGCCCCTTGAGGATCACTGTGTATTTCTTTCCCTTCTCAGTCAGCTGTAGCCCCCATGGCTAAAGGGCCTCTGTTTCATCTTATCCCGGGACAGTGTCTCCACACTGTTGACACACACCTGCTTATCTGCAAGGCAGTATTTTTCTATTTTTCTTGCTTCTTGGTATAAATCAATATTTCTTTTCTCCTTTAATGATCCTTTGGAGAAAGAAATCATTTGCTGGGTTTGATCATAATCAGGGTGCCCTTCCTACATACCTAAATGTCAGCAGTGAAAGACTTGTTAAGGGCTTTTTTTAAAAAAATCGGAATTTGTGGCTTCAAAAGGGACTTCCAAATTCACCAGGAGCAGGTGCAGTTCTCTCTGAGCAGCTCAGGGAAGGGGAGAGTGTGGTGCTGGCGGCCTTGAATGGTTTTACAGAGGGGAAGACTTCATGAGAGAAAAGTTAAAGCCAATATTCACAGTGTGATGTGAGGTCCGGAGGCTGTTCCAGCCCCAAGACTGGCCTCCCGCCCCTCAGTGGCTGCTACACCATTTAGATCCTCCTTACCATCGAGGCCTAAACATGGAAAAATCTCAGCCTCTTCCTCTTGAATTCAGTCTAGGCAAGATCAACGTGTTTCAAAAATATCATTTGGAAGAAAATGAACCGGAATGCAGAACAGATCTCCACAGAGGAAATTCAAAGCCGAGAACACTGGTAGAGTTGAGAAGCTGTGTCCTAAAGTGACAAGAGCCTGGGCACCGTTGGCCTGGCTGTCTTGCATCATACAGCCTGTTTCCTTTGGTCACCTGAGGCCTGTCTGCCCAGGAGTGAAATGAACTGCATATGCCCCTGACCTTGGTAAACGAGGGGGCACCGCTGCCGGGCCTGGGAGATTTCTGTCCTTCCCAGCCCGATCTCCCTGTCTCTCTGGGTGTGGGCTTATCAGAGTGCTGTGTTTTTTGAAAGTATAAATACGATCATATCTTTTTCTTGCCTAAAAGCCCTTACTAGTTCCCGTTGCCCTGGGGATAAGGACCTAAGTCCTCAGCATTAAGGATTATGAGGCCCTGAGGAATGAAGCAGCCACATCCTCCAGAGCTGCCCCATCCACGTTCCCTCAGACTCACTGGACACCCTTGGGTCCTTGAACCTATGTATTGTCTTTTGAGTCTGGGCCTTTGCGTGAGCCTGGAACGGCCTTCTCTCTCCTGTTCCCTTGGCTAACTTTCCCTATGTTCAAGGTCCCATGCTAACTGTGCTGGTTCCAGAGCCTTCCCTTACTCTCTAGACAAGGGCAGGGCCCTGCTTGAGGGTCTAGGGGATGCCTGTACTTCTCTTTTACTCACAGTCACAGTACTTACTTCTTACGTGTCATCTGTCTGCCCTGTCACAATGTAAGCTCCATGAGGACAGGCAGGTTGGAGGGCTGGTGTGCCGTAAGATTTTTAGGTTGGGTAAATCCGCTCTCCAAAGATTTCTCCCCGGGCTTCAGGCTGTCCTGAACTGACTTCATAATGCAGGGGTCTGCAAACATATCTGTGAAGAACTAGACAGTGAAGGTTGAGGCATTGGCGGGAAGGTGGGAATGGTCTCTGTCACAGCAACTTAACTCTGCCATTGTAGCCCCAAAGCAGCCAAGGGCAAAATGAAAACAGATGGGCATGACTGTGTCCCAAGAAAACGCGATGTACAAAAACAGGCAGTGGGCTGAATGTCCTGATTATTCTCATATCCTTCAGCCTGGAAGGATTCCAGCTACTGGGAGAACTGTTTTTACCCCAACCTGTTCTTTCCTTCCTTCCTTCCTTCCTTCTTCCCTCCCTCCCTTCCCTTCTTTCCCAATTGTTCTGCAGTATCAAGACAGTTGCTAGCGTTGACCCAGCTTTTGGTGAAGGTCAGCCCACTCATCCGTTGCTCCAGGCTGGTGTCTTGAGGTCACACTAGCAGCCTTGGCGTGATGGCCCATGATGGGCTCTGACATGTCGTGTTGTCCCCAGGATCTTTTTTTTTTTTTTTTTTTTTTTTTTTGGTCCGGGGGCCTCTCACTGTTGTGGCCTCTCCCGTTGCGGAGCACAGGCTCCGGACGCGCAGGCTCAGCGGCCATGGCTCACGGGCCCAGCTGCTCCGCGGCATGTGGGATCCTCCCGGACCGGGGCACGAACCCGCGTCCCCTGCGTCGGCAGGCGGACTCTCAACCACTGCACCACCAGGGAAGCCCTCCTCAGGATCTTTGATTTGCTCCTGGCACGGCCTATAGAACGTGTATCTCCTCCAGCTTTGACAGCCTCAACCCCCTGTGCCGCTGCTCCCTTAGCCCCTTCTCTGAGGTCTCTCACTGTCCCAGGTTCTCTCGGGCGACCATCCAGGTGCTGCTCTCTGTCTCCTCTCTCTCCTCCCCAGCAGTTGTCTTCCAGAACGCTGTTGCTAATGTTCTAAGGTAGAAAAATCCTTGCTATTACTACCAATAAAGGTCAGGAGACTGTTCTCTAATGTAGATTTCTGTGTTGATAAGATTACACATTTTATCAAAGAAAAAGAAACTTTGACCCTGGAGAGTTTAACAGAAGCGCAGGTAGTACTCAGGGTATAGACCACGTACCATTTGGCAGAGGGGGAAACTGGTGTTGGCGATTCAGAATTCTTGGGGGATTCCATGATTAGGTGGCCAAAATCTGCTGGTCAGTGCTTAGAAAGCTTGATTTCCTACTTTTAACTCCTAGATTCTCTTAAGTTTATTGAAAGACAATTTTTCTGGGAGACCTTGAAAATTCTCAATCTGTTCCCAAAGAGAGTTTTTAGAGATTAAAATAATTTACTATATAAAAAGACAGAGTGAAAAGGAAATAGCTTGGTAAGTTATTTTCAAATCTGAGTTCTTTTGTGTGGGTTAAAGTACAATTTTGTTATTGTAAATTGTTAAGAAACCCTAATTAAAGCTTCTTGCAATGCATGATACCCAAGTACCTTTCACGTGCTTCAGGAAGCTCAAGAACAAATTGTTAGCTTAAATGCTATAGATAATAGCTGAGAGAGTAGAATTAGATGACATGACATCTGCTTGCACTCTTAAATCATAAATGTACCAAGTGAGGAAGAGACATGCTCTCACCACCCTGTACAACAAATGTGCTTGTCACTGAAATCTAGATTCCCACTGTTTCCAGGGTTTCAGAGACTAACAGAGATGTTCTCCAGCATCTGCTCTAAGAATTTCCCAGGATCTCATCTAATAAAAAGGGAATTAACCAGTGGGGAAAACATGGTCTAATGATACATCAGGGTACACTTATAATGGCATGAGGCCATTCATCTAACATCTAATTTTGGAAACATCGTTTTTTTCTGGAAAATACCACAAGCAAAGTCTTCGTTTATTCTTTCTAGTAATTTTAATATCTCACTGCACTTCTCCAAATGTAGTGTTATAAAATTGCTACTATCTTTGTGGGTGCACACAAGTAATTACCATTTTCAACACAATGGCCTTTAAAAGTCATCACGGAATTGACCAGAGATAAGGCAACTAGCTTCCATTTCTTTTTTTTCTCTTTTTGTTATTTATTTATCTATTTATCTATCTATCTATTTATTTATTTATTTTTGGCTGCGTTGGGTCTTCGTTGGAGCACGCTGGCTTTCTCTAGTTGCGGCCAGAGGGGGCTACTCTTCATTGCAGTGCCTGGGCTTCTCACTGCGGTGGCTTCTCTTGTTGTGGAGCATGGGCTCTAGGTGCACGGGCTTCAGTAGTTGTGGCATGTGGGCTTCGGTAGTTGTGGCTTGTGGGCTCTAAAGTGCAGGCTCAGTAGTTGTGGCGCACAGGCTTAGTTGCTCCGTGGCATGTGGGATCTTCCCGGACCAGGGCTAGAACCCGTGTCCCCTGCATTGGCAGGCTGATTCTTAACCACTACAGCACCAGGGAAGTCCCCTAGCTTCCGTTTCTGACTGAGCAACCGATGCATGTCCTGTAGCACTGGAGAGAGTGTGTCTTTTAAAACATAGCTCCTTGGAATGGACTACTGAAGTCCAGAGTGATGCATTGAATGTTGAGAAAGAAAACAAACAAAAGAACAGTCCCAGATATTTGGTTGCTGGCCTGGCACTCACAGCTAAGCTGTGTTATTCTCCTATAAGAAATAAACAATCTCATAGAATACTAACTGAATTAGTCAGCGTTCTGCAAAGGAACAGAAAGAATAGGATTATATATAGATACATAGAAAGAGATTTATTATGAGTCATGTGATTATACAGGCTGAGAAGTCCTACGATCTGCCATCTGCAAGCTGGAGACCCAGGGAAGCCAGTGGTGTAGTTCCAGTTGGAATCTGAAGGCCCAAGAACCAGAAGTGCAGATGTCTGAGGGCAGGAAAAGATGATGTCCCAGCTAAAGCAAAAGGGCAAATTCACCCTTCAAAAAAATTAATTAGTTAATTTTTTAATTGATACATAGTTGACATATAACATTGTGTCAGTTTAAGGTATACAACATGTTGATTTGATACATTTACTTATTGCAATATGATCACCACTGTAGCTTCAGCTAGTACCTTTATCACATCACATAATTATTATTTCTTTTTTGTGGTGAGGACATTTAAGATCTAGTCTCTTAGCAGTTTTGAAGTACACAATACAGTATTGTTGACTGTCATCACTGTGCTGTGTATTAGATCTCCAGAACTTACTAATCTTCTAGTTGCAAGTTCGTACCCTTTAACAACATCTCCCCGACTCCTCCCAACTCCCCGGGCCCTGGTAACCACCATCCTACTCTCTGTTTCTACAAGTTCAGCTTTTTTAGATTCCACATAAAAGTGAGATCATCAATATTTGTCTTTCTTTGTCTGGCTTATCTCACTAAGCATAATGTCCTCAAGTTCCATCCATGTTGTTGCAAACGGTAGGATTTCCTTCTTTCTCATGGCTGAGTAGTATTCCCTTGACTTAAAACATGGAGAAATCGGGGCCTGGAGAAAGGTTAAAAAACATATCCAACAACATAGAGTGAAGCCGTAGGCAGTACTGGGATCTGTGGAACTCCAAAGTTCACAGGCAAGACACTGCCAATGGCCTCTAAACACTGCCAACTATTTGCACACCAGTGGAAAGAAACCTTTTTAAATGAAGAACTAAGCCAGGAAAAAAAATAATTGGAGACTGGAATTTTTAAAAATGTCTCATTTTGGGCTTCCCTGGTGGCACAGTGGTTGAGAGTCCATCTGCCGATGCAGGGGACACGGGTTCATGCCCTGGTCCGGGAAGATCCCACATGCCGCGGAGTGGCTAGGCCCGCAAGCCATGGCCACTGAGCCTGCGCGTCCGGAGCCTATGCTCCGCAACAGCAGAGGCCACAACAGTGAGAGGCCCGCGTACCACACACACACAAAAAAAAGTCTCATTTTAAAATTAGGAAATGCAATATTACAACTATGGTTCATGTTGTTTTATTATTTTCTCATTTTCAAAGAGTTTCTTTCTTTGCTTTTTGAAAAAAAAATTTTGGTCAAAATTTCAAAAATGTTATAACCAGCAAACATTGCAGCCTGAATGTAATATTGCTGTGTTAAAGAAATTTTGTTGTTGGATTAAAGAATTCTGAATTTGTTTTTTTTAGTATTTTTTTAACTGACCTGATAAGCTACATAGTTAATGTTTCACACTCTGCATTTTTTTTTTTTTTTGGCTGTGCTGGGTCTTCATTGCTGCGCATGGGCTCTCTCTAGTTGCGGCGAGCGGGGGCTACTCTTTGTTGTGGTGTGCAGACTTCTCATTGTGGTGGCTTCTCTTGTTGTGGAGCACTGACTCTAGGCCCATGGGCTTCAGTAGTTGCGGTGCATGAGCTCAGTAATTGTGGCACACGGGCTTAGGTGCCCCATGGCATGTGGCATCTTCCCAGACCAGGGATTGAACCTGTGTCCCCTGCATTGGCAGGTGGATTCTTAACCACTGGACCACCAGGGAGGTCCCTCTCACTCTGCTTCTTAATAATGAGTTTATTTTTTAAAATTTATTTTGTATAAATCATGTTGATAGATACCATTATCTTGATAGTACATTTGCTATGACGTAATGAGAAGGGTACTTTATCTCTGTGGTCTTCCTCCCCAAAACACACAACTCCTGTCTAATCATGAGAAAAACAGCAGATAAATCCCAATTTCAGGAACATTCTGTAAAATAACTGTTCAGTACTTCTCAAAACTGTCAAGATCATCAGAAAGAAGAAATTTATAAGAAATTGTCATGGCTAAGAGAAGCTTAAGGAGATTTGACAACTTAGTGTAATGTCTTTATATCGTCACAACACTTTGCACTATTGGATATTTAATCTTTGCCAGTATTTCAATGAATGGTTTTAGTATTTGTCACTGATCAGTACCCAAATTCATTCATTGGGTTGCAACGTAATGATTTTTCTAATTTTATGGGCTTTTAAACATCTGGAATGGATATTAATTTTTACTGAATACTTTTTCTCCATCTATCAGGATGATCCAATTTTTTTACATTAGACAATCATTGCATTTCTGGGATCAACGTTGCTCACTATGTTTTTTTCATAAACTGCTAGATTATATTGAACATATTTAGCATTCTAAACTCTACTTTCAAAAATAATTATAATTCTATTTTTTTTCTTATAACATTTTTATTTGTTTTGAAGTCAAGGTTATCCTTGTGTTATAAAATGAATTAGGTAGCAGTTCTCCTGGTCCATGCTGGACTTTCCATATTCTGGATCTAGGGGCTGCATTTACAAAGGAGCACTGAAACCTACCCACCAGTATTTGGTTGTTGTTGGTCAACTCTACCGACCCAAGAATGTCACCAGTTGGCTGTGCCCTTCTAGTGGTTTTTATTTTTACTCATTAAAAAAAAATCAATCAAACAAGCAAGCACAGATAAGCAGAAAGAACAAATAAATAAAAAGCAACTATCCATCCAGCAACCAGAGAAAGTCATAATCAATGGTTTGGGTTCATCTTTCCTAATAATTAGACTCTTTCACGGGGTTATTAACCAATTAAAAAAATCTACTTTTGTCTGAGATTGTTAATGAAGATAATTTCTTGAACCAAATTATTCTTTCACTTGGCTACTTTGGTTAAGGAGGAGAAAATAAATAATAATCACAATGATTCTTTTATTTTATTTTCTAGAGTTGTTGGCTGTGGACTGCAATTACCATGCCTGACTCAGTAATTCTTCGCAGCGTGAAGAAATCTGGAGAGGACAATCATGGTTTTGAGTCAGATAGATCATGTAAGTGGCTTTTTTCTCTTACTGTCTCTTGTACAAAGAGAGGTGAGAACAAAAGTGGAACAAGCTAGTGAAGGTTTAAGGAGAAGAGAAAAATCAATGGCAATAAGTAGAACTGTTACTGGATGGTCTTCTAACATACTCTAGGTGTTTCTCCCTAGAATCCATCTAGTGGAATGGCTGAGAGTGCTAGGTAAGAACGCACAAATCCTGGGTGAGTGAAAGCATCTCACCTATAAATATCTCTTCCCTGGGTAGAGTAGGGTTGTTCTAGCACTGACTATTATTATTACCTTTATTCGTATATTGTTATAATTGATTATAGTAGTAAATGTTTAGTGAGCGTTGCTCCCTGAGAGGAACAGTACAAAGACTCTGCTGGCCAGAGTGAGGTAACGTGTGTAGCACTAGTACATGGTGTGTAGTGAGGGCAGATGATTCTAAGCTATTATTATTATTTTTTTAATCCTATTATTTTACATTTTATAGAAGAGGAAACAGAGAGTTGGATACATTTTTGAAAACTTGGCAAAGATCGTGTGACTAATAATTAACGGAGCCGTAATCCTAATCTGGTTCTGATTCCCAAACCTAAGAGGTTAATCTCTATCTACACTGTAATGCGTCTTTACTTTTTTTTTTTTTTTTTTTTTTTTGGTACGCAGGCCTCTCCCTGTTTTAGCCTCTCCCGTTGCGGAGCACAGGCTCCAGACGTGCAGGCTCAGCGGCCATGGCTCACGGGTCCAGCCACTCCGCTGCTTGTGGGATCCTCCTGTACCGGGACACGAATCCGTGTCCCCTGCGTCAGCAGGCGGACTCTCAACCCCTGCGCCACCAGGGAAGCCCCGCATCTTTACTCTTGATGAAATGAAATGACATGAAATTTAAATGCCAGGGGAACCAGGATGTGCTGTCCTATGACAATGGTTGGCATTAGCACCTCGGGTTCCTTTCCTTGTGGTTTCCCTACACTCAGGACCCTGAGCGCCCACTTTCACCTCCTCCCCTCTGTCTGCTCTGACCTATGCTGGGGAAAATAGTATGTGGCTCAATCCTATGGCTTCTACTGGCATGGGGATGTCAATGATATCTTATTGTTTAGTTGATTTGTGGTCCGCATTTTAAGTAGACAAATTCTGATGTTTATAAAGAACCAAACAAGAAATAAATATTCATTTTATTTGGTAGTTCAAAAAATAGCTTCCTTTAGCTAATTTAGAAATGTTGGTCTTTAGTTGACATCCAGAAGGTAAAAAGATTTCATTTTCTGGAGAAAAGTCAAGAAATGTAGTCAAGGCAGCAGTCCTGAATGTGAAAAAAATGTCTTCTATAATATGGAAAGAGAGAGAGAGAAAGAGAGAGAGAGAGAGAGAGAGATGAAAAAGCAAATAATTATTTTGCATTATTCCATGAATAAAAGTAATTATAGAAATGGTTTTCCAGAGCAAAATTGTTAATGACTATGTTTCATTTTGTCATTATTATTAACTGCTTTATGTATTGTTTTTATCCTGACAGATGACAACGATAAGAAATCAAAGTAAGTGACTACTCAACAATGCATCACATCTTCAGAATAATTTCCTAATATTCCCATAAAAGGCACAAAGCAGAAGCAATATTTTTACACACATTGCACTGCCTACAAAATGGTATATATAATCCATGCTTTTTCTCTTTAAAACATTACTATAATTTAATTTCAAAAACCTTTGGGAATATTCCTTCTGGATTAGGCCCAAATCTCCCTTGTATGTCCAGGAACACCACAGAATTTCTGACCTAAATGAGCAGAGGAAATATTGGACAAGTATGATTTCATGGGCACAGAGAAGAAAGCCCAATGCTTCCCAAAAGCAAATAGTAGAAACCTAAAATGTAATTATTAGATGTTTCTCTTTAAGAGTTTAAATTCTCTTATAAAACAAATGCCACTTAATCATACTCGGTATGAGGGCAGGATTAAAGGAGTCTAATTTAGAAAACAAGGAGGTACCAGCTAAGTTTCTGAAATAGAGGTGGTGGAAAGGGAGAGGTTGAAGGTATTTAAGACATTTTAAGTAATTCATGGCAGAGGGAGGTGGTAGTTGTGGTAACATTAGCTTTGGACTTGGAAGGTAGGGTCAGCTGGGTGCAGAATAACCATTCTTTCTCACGGGGTGGGAAAGAGATGGAAGAGGGCATGGATGCTGATGAATGAGCTGCAATGAGGATGAGCAGGAAAGCTGAGTGAGTGCTTTGGTTTTTAGAGGATACGAACCTTTCTCCTGATAAGTGTGGTAACGTAGGATGAGAAGATGACAGTGAAAATTTGATAAAGCTGCTGAGGGGAATGGGAGCAATCTGTAGAGGGATGAAGTACAGTGCTGTGGGTTGAGCTGAGGTTGGAGACCATACTCATTCATTCATTCATTCATTCATTTCACAAATATTAATTGAGGACATACTGGGCTTAGGTGCTGAGGATATAGAAAAGAACAAAGTAGGCAAAAATCTCTGTCCTTGAGGAACTCACATGCCCTTGAAGAGCTCCCTCCCTTAATGAAGGATACATAATAAACACTATAAATAAATAAAATATATAGCATGGGAGCTAGTGATAATTTATCACTCCCTTTCTAAGAAGAAACAAGTAAACACGGAAATGGAGATTTGAAATGATGTAGGGGAGAGTTGAAACTTTAAAGACTTTGGCCATGGAAGGTTCCATTGAGAAGGTGACTTTGGAGAGAAGGTATGAAGGAGGTGAGGGAGTTGGCCATGCAGATATCTGAAGAAAGAGCATTTTGGTGAGAGGAAGTAGCAAGTGCAAACACCCAGAGGTGGGAACAAATTTGGCATGGACAAAAGTCAGCAAAGAGGCCAGGTGGCTCAGGTGGTGAAAATTGGAGTGAAGTAGGAGAAAACAAGGTCAGAGAGTCAACTGGCCAGACCACGGAGGGCTGTGGATGTGTCAGCAAGGAACTGTGATTCTACTCTGAGCTAGAAGGGAAGCTTAGGGCAGCCAAGTGCTAAGCACAGCATGTGCAGCACCTTTCAGATGGTGGAGAGGTTGTCTCTAGCAGGCCCAGCAGCCTGGCTTCAGGAGGAGAAGGGGGAACAGCTGGCTGAATGCAGAGATGGGGTTTCCAAGGATGGATTTGGGGAAAAGGATTGAGGATGATGGTGAAAGTGTGGTCCAAATGGCCAGCAGTGGCACTTAGGATGCCTGAGTAAGGAAGCAACATCTTGATGGGGTTTAGTGATTGTAAGTAAATGGAGAGTTTAAAGGACTGCGGGTCTCAACTGAGATGACAAATAGGTATAGAAGGAGGAAGGAAATGAGAAAACAAGATGCATGCTCAGTCCCAAAGAGCCGATAGAGTAGACTAGTTCCTGGTGAAAACAAGACCTGGGGTATATTCATGAATGGATGACTCAGGTGAAGTGGAGATCCCTGGAGTTGAAAAGTTCAAGGATGGGTTGAGTACAATTTTATGAGCAATAAAATGAATAAGAAATAATAAGTAAATATGAGTTTATGGGAAGTATGGGAGTTTTTTTGAATTTTTTGTCATATTTAATGTAGTTGTAAAATTTTTAAGTGCGAGAAGGAAGCTATAAATCAGATAATCCAACCACCTCAACTTATAGGGAAATGTAGGTAGAAAGAGGCCGAGGTTCAAAGCTGAGGTCCAATAGTTATTTGCTACTGTAACAGGGAGCACAGAGTACTTTTAATTTTCTCTTAGCACCTCTCAGAAAGACCTCAGTGAATCTCTACTGAACAAGAGATACAGCTATACTGAAATCTCCAGAAGAGGTAAATCTGAAAGTAATAGCCAGTTTAAAAATTTTTTTTTAAACAATGCTGTGCTAGTTTCACAACAAAGTGATTCAGCTATACTTATAAATGTATCTATTCCTTTTCAAATTCTTTTCCCATTTAGGCCATTACAGAATATTGAGCAGAATTCCCTGTGCTATACAGTAGGTCATTGTTGGTAGTTTTTGTTTTAGTTTTCTAAAAATAAACTTATTTAATTCATTTTTGGCGCGTTGGGTCTTCGTTGCAGTGCACGGGCTTCTCATTATGGTCGCTTCTCTTGTTGCGGAGCATAGGGTCTCAGCTCGCGGGCTTCAGTAGCTGTGGCTCGAAGGCTCTAGAGTGCAGGCTCAGTAGTTGTGGCTCACAGGCTCTAGAGCGCAGGCTCAGTAGTTGTGGTGCATGGGCTTAGTTGCTCCGCGCCATGTGGAATCTTCCCGGACCAGAGCTCGAACCCATGTCTCCCACATTGGCAGGCGGATTCTTAACCACTGGGCCACCAGGGAAGCCCCCTGGTTAGTTTTTAAGATACCAGTTTTGGAAAGAATTTCACAGCTAGTGGGGGCTTTCTTTCTTACTAAAGAATGACTCATAAAATCACCATCTAGGAAGAATTTCTCATTGTTTTGCAAAGGATGGTCTTTAAACCCCTGTGTTTTCCTCCTCAGGTTAGAAGATAAGAAGAAGAAAGGTGGCAGCAGTCAAGTTGGCTTCTTTCAATTGGTAATAAAGCTGTGCTGATTTATGGCACAGGTTTTGCCACTGTGAGTTGTTCAAGTGGCGGAGGAAATGTTATAGTCACATTGGCAGGTTTTTTAACTACAATGATCACTTTTTCAGTCATAAACTGTCTACGTGATAACATGTTGAATAGCAATTAGAAATTTATTGCTGATTAAACACACAAATTCTATCTGGTATATCATAAAAGTGTTGTAGAAGATAATCTCTAAGCCCCTAATTATCATTTTAGTAAGGAAAATTATCATAGTAATCATGTCATGTATACTTATTCTTATGACGTCTTTAGAAATTCCATAGTGTAGGTATTTTTCTCAAATTTGCAGAGTGGAGGCATTTCTGGGCACAAATAGGCACTCTTCATTGTCAGTATCAGTTCTGGGAGCCAATTTATACAATTGCTGAATAACCCACACAGAATATCTACATGGCAATAGCATCTGTGCCAGTGATTGTTTCCCCCTTAAGCTGGGAATGAATATCTAAGAACTAAAGTCAGCTCCTGAGATAAAGAGAATGAATTAAGAGACTAGGAAAGAGATAACATGAACTAACAATGTAAGAGTCTAATGATTTAGATAATCGACGTACCGTTTATTTCAATATTAGTGAGAACTCTACCTTTCAATTAAGATGATTCCCTTAAGACTTGGTGTTGAATACTATTTATCAGAATCTAGTAACTAAAATTAAATAGTCCTCCTACCTCTCCTGCTTTTCACCCATAGATGATCTCTGAATCCTTTGTTTTTCAAGTTTCGATTTTCTTCAAAGACTGACATTTGGCTGATGTCTGTGGGAAGTTTATGTGCATTTCTCCATGGAGTAGCCTATCCAGGCGTGCTACTGATTTTTGGCACAATGACAGATGTTTCTATTGAGTATGACATGGAATTACAAGAACTCAAGATCCCTGGAAAAGCATGTGTGAATAACACGATAGTATGGACCAACAGCTCCCTCTACCAGAATGTGACAAATGGAACGCGCTGTGGGTAGGCTGCTATTTTTTACTTTTCACTGTTTTGGCTTGTATCTTAGATTGTAATTCAAAATGTGTGAAGAGAACCTGATGGACTGAGCTGGAGTGGTGTCTAACACAGAGCAAAAAGAAACATAAATTTACCCTTATTTCTATAAATTACTCTGCCCTGAAGTTCTTCCTGTCCTACCGGATTTTTAAAGCTTAATAACAACAGCAAAACCCAGAACTGGAAATTGCTCATTAAATACATCACCCAGATTTCACCACTTTGTAGACCACAGGCTTGAGGATGACACTACCAATACTTGATGCAGTTGGAGGATGACCCATGAATTTTACTTGAGTCCTTGTCATGTCTCATATCCAAGACTTCCTTTTTCCTCTTTCCTGTTTCCTCCTCCCTCCCTCCCTCCCTCTTTTCTTCCTTCCTTCCTTCCTTCCTTCCTTCCTTCCTTCCTTTCTTTCTTTCTTTCTTTCTTTCTTTCTTTCTTTCTTTCTTTCTTTCTTTCTTTCTTTCTTTCTCTCTTTCTCTCTTTCTCTCTT